TATGAAGCAGGGTCCTTGGGAGTAGGATCACTGGTCACATTGTGTGAAGCCTGTGTTCAAGAAGCAACGCAAATTATAACTGGGGACCTGACTACATACCTATCATTTAAGCACACAGTCTATTTTTACCAGAGGAGGTCAAAATATTTTCCCTTATGTATAAGGGAAAGATGCTGGCACACTTATGTTAAAGTATTTGTGAAGGCAAAAACTATGCTGCCAGAGTTTTTCACTGTAAAATGATCTCTGAGGAAAACAAAACAAACAAAAAAACCCAACAAAATGATCTCTGAGGAAAAAAAAAATACAATTACTCATTGCCATGATTTCTCCTGACAAATAAAACATGGACTTATGCCAAACCTGCAATGAATGTAATTTTTATGACTGATATCACCAAATATAAAGTTAGTAGTAAGAATAATTCTTATTTTGCAGAGGAAGACCACTGACAAGATTTGTTTAAAGGCAAGATTACTAATATAACTAAGTCAACAGAGTTACGAATAGATATGATACTACAACTAGATTTTGGTCATCCCTTCTTTCCTTGGCAGATTAAAAATACTGAATACAAAAAAAAAATACTGAATACCCAACTTTTGTATCAACATGGACAGGACTAGAAAAGATTATGCTAAGTGAAATAAGTCAAGAAGGGAGAGTCAACTATCATATGGTTTCGCTTATTTGTGGAGCATAAGGAATAACATAGAGGATATGGGGAGATGGAGAGAAGTGAGTTGGGGGAAATTGGAGGGGGAGATGAACCATTAGAGACTGTGGACTCTGAGAAACAAACTGAGGGTTTTGGAGGGGAGGGGGTTGCGGGGTTGGGTGAGCCTGGTGGTGGGCATATTATGGAGGGCAAGTATTGCATGGAGCACTGTGTGTGGTGCATAAGCAATGAATTCTGGAACACTGAAAAGAAAAACAAATCCTTATAACCTTAAAAAAAAATTACTAAGAATACTGATATTAAGAATCCTTCCAAACATGGATGGAAAATATGTCAGAGAAGAGACAGCTCTACAGAATTTGTTACTTCACATCAGCCTGACTGGAGTAGTGGAAACTCTCTCACCTGGAAAAATAAAAGCTTGGTCAGTGGGAACAGGGAGGACAAAATACATGAAATCATAGTTTTTAAGATACCGGACACAGGACACACATAGGACACACACACAGGACACAGGACACAGGACACACATAGTTTTTAAGACACAGGACAGTAATGAAGGGGATGGTGATCCCTAAGAGATAAGAAACAAGATGAGCCTTACAATTGCCCCAACTTACTGCCTTGAGTGAATTTACAAGTAACCGCGGAGAGGAGACCCAGAAAGAGCCCGTAGATGTCTGGAGTGGAGGAGAAAGAATTGAGTCTGGAGAGACTTGTGGCTAGGCTTCTCAAGGCACTACAGGAAAATTAGCATATAGCAGTAAGCATATTATCTTACCTTCCCACAAAGATTATCAGAAACACTGTTTTAACTCTGATTCCTTATTTAAAAATGCTTCAATGTGTCTAATTTACCACTGTACTGATTCCACAAAATATGATTAAGGATTTAATGTATTAACTTTCATCCTCTGAATTGTACCCATTAGGAAAAATAACCAGGATCATCCTGGTTAAAGCACAAGTGTGGATGCTCTACGGTCTATTCATGTTCTGAAATGAAGTAATACATTCTGCATGAGCAGAAGCTTGTAGGTGGCTCAGAAGGTCACCCTTGCACACATCATTACAATATCCCAGCAAAGAGTTTGCCTAACCATGACCAAAATGAAGAGGAGAAAAATATATTTGCCCCATATTAAGTGTCAACTCCTAGGTTCTGTACAGAGATATTAGCTTCATAGCCACTTGTCACAATTGGGCCAGACTGAGCCCAAACAGCCAAACCAGTTGCTCCGGCATCAGATGCATGCTTTGCTCGGCGGGGAGGTGGGGGCTGGATCCTGCCAAGGCAGCTGTACAGTGGTGCCGACCCTAGGGGCTGCCTGACTACTACTACCTCTGCTCATCTCGGTGGCTTTTAACCCAGCATCATCCCCCAGAGATCTAGTCATCATGCCCTTCATAGGCTGGGGTGGTTTACCATGTCCATTTATGATCACGAGTGGGCAAAGGAACACCTAGAAAACCCATGCGAATCATCCGGATTCCACACATACTCATGTCACCATCATGTAAGGACAGCCCTACTCCCTCCTGATGAAGAGTCACTTATCTCTGCACAAGCTGATCTCTTCTCACACCTCCTGGTTTCTGGACATAAAAAGCCAAAAAGGGTACTCTATCCAGCCCATCATACATGGATCGTCTATTGGGAACATAATGGAATAGAAGTGTCTTTGATTCAGTGAGACTCTGTGACTTGAAGGATGATATAAAATCCTTGCAGTATTGCCTCAGAGCTGCTGTCTCAGTGTCTTCAGCACACCATAACATATCCTCAGGGAAGAAGTTTCTGGGGAGCAGGGTATGTGATACCCTTGGATCCCATGGTTACAAGGCCTATTCCTGCCCCTCCTTTTCTTTAAAGATGATACCCTGACCCGACATAATTTTAGGTGGGGTCTCATCTCAGTAAACTGAACACTCCATCAGCCCTCGGTACTGATGATGTTGGACGAGGCCATGCAGGTCTTTCTAGAACGGCTGGTCTGACCTGCCTCATAAAGCAAGGATGTATTCATCTATTGCTGACAGTGACATTTTGCTGTGGTGGTAACTACACCCACTTTGCTAAGTTGAAGCCCAGGAGGTGTCTAAGTCTGTAAATACAGATGACATGACCTTCCTTTAGAACCCCAGGGAGGTGGCATTTTGATTCTCCTACTGCAGCTTGCCACATACGCCACAAGACACCTTTTCCCCATGGTGATCTCCAATACAGTAGCATCTACCCTGTGACCCAGAAAGTAGGGCTGTTGCCACTGTGATCTAGACTTGCTACAGAGTTCTTCCCTGCAGTGGGCCCTACTCAAAATGGGCAGCCTTTTGCACCATCTGGTAAATGGATCAGAACACTATCCTTAGATGTGAAATATTTGCTGCCTCCAAAACCCAGAAGGCTCACCAGGCATTGTGCTGACTCGGGTTCACAAACTGAGCCAGGGATGACAGTTTTTTATTGCATGACTATCCTTCAGCCTCCGTGTTATCCATCCTTCATGTTATCTAATGGTATAAACTGAGTAGTGCTCTTACTGACTACCCAGTAATTTTGCCCCTAAGGATGGTCTCTTTTATTAACCTTCTCCCTAACTCTCTGCAGGTCAGATCCCCCTCCCCTAATAGCTAGCCATTCTCACCTTCACAGTCATAATGATAATTGTGATCCCCTGACTTTGGGCAATAGGCACTGCCACTCAGACACTGTGTTGAGGTTCTTATTACCCATAACCATCAGCAAACTAAACTTTGTAATAGTTTGTTTCTATTGTCACCAGAAGCCTACAGTTACTACTCAAATACTTAGCTGCCCTTGTGCCCCTCTCATCATTACATGTCTTTATGGCTTTGTTAGATGGTTTGTCTGGTGGGCCTACTCCTATGAAACATAGTATCTGGTAGACTGTCCAACCAAAAATAATCCATTCCAGCATATCCACTTCCTTCAACTTTTAATCCTTTCTTCCACACTCTGTCACAATAATATGGTCGCACTTCAACCCTGCTCAGAATTAACCATTGCTTTTTCCATGCTTCTAGAAGCCATCCTGGTAGCAAGTTCATACCATCTCCCAGGATCCCAACCAGGGTGTTAAATCCTATTAAGATAACTCTTATCCACCAACTTAATGACCCAATGTGGGTGCTATTAAATTCTCCCCTAGTTTATGATCTGACTCTTGATCTTCACCCTAATTCCTGTCTCATGTACTCCTCCAGCTCCTCCCAGTCCTTGCTGGCCAATTCTTGCAGCTCCTTTGGGATAGACTCTGTTCTCCGCAGGCCCAGCACCTCTCCAGCTTAGTTTTCCTTAACCCGAATTATAGTTTTTTAATCCTAATTCAAGACCTAGTAGCCTGGAGGTAGGACAAGTCCTAAAGGAGGCACCTGTTGCCTGGAGAGGTTCTGTACTGTCACCCAGCTTAGAGGCAGGGCAGGAGTATCTGCCCTTACCAGAGAGGGATGGGCTACAACTGCAGGCTCAGAAAGTTCAGGAGTTTGCAGAGTAAGCAGTATTCATTCAGATGCCTCTACCTCACTTGTCAGGGTCCTGGGTTTTCCCAAAAAGTGCCCTGACTCCTGCGTAACAAACCTGCCTTGATTAGCAACTGTCTTTGACGTCTATCCATCCAGACTACTAAGTCCTGTGCTTGGGCCTCAGCTTTCTCAGCCATCCTGCTGCAAGTCATGAAAACTAGTGTCCGTGCATCCAGAGGCCACACCTGGTTTCCCACAGCCTGTTATCGCCCTCAGCTGTTCATTATGCTTCTATAGAGTAAGAATGGCCTAGCAATAGCCATCCACCCCTTTTGTCCTCACAGCTACAATTTTCTCCATCCTTCTCAAATGCCATCCAGTGCACTAACACATATCTCTCCAGCACAGCACCCCAATCCACCACCAGCACAAGGTGTACAACTGAAACCTGTGCCAGCAACTGCCTGTTCTCCACCTACCACTAGTGATGGGGTCTGGCCACATAACTCCGCATCTAGCACATCATTAGTTTCTACTACCTATTTTGCACAGTAGAGTAGAAATGAAGCAGTTTATACAAAAATACTGGAAATTTCCAAAATAAGTTTAAAAACTTGAGAACAAGAAATTAAATATCCAAAGTATAGAAGTGAAATACTAGATTTATTCAAAGACAAATGCGTAAATGCATCTGTGTAATAATACTGTCTCTGTCTCTGCAAACTATTCAGTCACCTTTGTCTATACATTTAGGCATTAATAAAAGGTACTGCTCAGGACACACACTGTGAAGAAAAAAATGAATGAATAATTGCTAAAACATACATATCAGGACTACTTAAGATACCATGGATATTTAATGAAAATTCAGCATTTAACATTTGATTCTCATCCTGTGGACTATAAGGAAAAATACAATAATTCATTTTACCCATTACCATCTTACAAAATCAGAGAGAATGAATATAAGCGGTGTTTTTTAAATAAAAACAGCAACCTAATTTCAATCAAATATATTACCATTCTATTTTTTTATCCTGTGTATGTATCTAATTGGCATAACCTACTGATTACTGAAATCAGTAAAACTCCAATCCATGATGCTTCAATTGCTGGGAATCAATAAACATCTTATACTTGGAACTCATTTTTTCTTATGCTATAAGCCTGATTATCAGCTCCTATAAAAACGCTATGCCCCACTCCTTGCCCCCAGGAGTGCATGACTAGTCTTTTGCACAAGGCTAAGTGACAGTACTTCTGAACATCCACACCCAATTCATCAAGCACACAGATTCTGGCTCATCTCGGACACAGTCACCCATGGGCAAGCAGCTCTCCTAGTTGTCCTGTTCCTCATAGTGAGCATAGCCACTGGCATAGGTCCTTCCTAAATTCAAATTAGTAAATAAATCTGATGACTCGGCATCTGAATCCTTTCCAACTTCATCTTCTTCCTCTTCATCATCCTCTGCTTCTTCTTCATCTTCCTCTTCATCATGGTAGCTGCTATCAGCATACTTATCAGAAGAAAGATTTTTCCAATAGGCATCATAACCAGAAGCTCCATCTCCCTCTTCGCCTCCAGTCTGCCTGCCAAATTTCAGGGACCGTGCTGCAAAAGACAGACATGTACATGGATGGCACTTTGTTTTGATTCTTCACATCTTCACTTTCTTCTACAATATACAAAATTATATGAACCTGACTGGCTGCTTCTTACTTCCTAATTTCCTCACTTAATACTTAACCGGAAAAAAAGAAGACCTTAGTAAAACCATCACTTCTAGCCTACTCAGAGCCTATATACATACCATATATAACATATAATAAAGACAACAGCGTCATTTCACTAAATCTAGAAAAAGCTGGAAAACAAAACAGCAGCACTCTCCAAACAATTCAAATAAGGCACATTAAAAACTAAAATGCTCTTCATTTGATGGATTAAAATTTTATTTTCAAATCACAGAACTATTGATTTCACATCATTACACTTTTCTTAAGAGAACCACTCTATAATTCTGGCATCCAACAAGACAAAGCCCTTCATTTCTTCTGCCTAAGTGGCAATATAGTTCAGTTCAAAAAATCAGCAAAATCATCAGTCTCACCTCATTGTACTAAAATGTACTACAACTTTGATTAAACAAAAGTATTTTCAGATTATGGTTCCACTCTGCTATGTTTGGTAAAGAGTCAAATTCTCTTTAACAAAATTGTAAATTGCATAACTACAAACATGTTTGTAGTAGTCTTACTCCTTCATAGAAAAGTTATATAAAAACCACAAAACTATTTCCTATAGTAGTGATATATGACATAATAAGCATCACTGCTCAAATACCTACAAAAAGCTTCAGAATGAATTTCAACTTCCAAGCACTGAAGATTACCAGCACTCGAATATTAAAGATTTATAGCTACTCAATTATTCAACAAGGAAAGCTTCAGCAAAGGCAAAAAAAATCACTTTTTGGTCTTAAATTTCAGTATTCACTATGTCATTAACTGAGTCAAATGCCAAACATCAAAGTGAATGATGGTGTATTTCTTAAGTTAAATTGAGAAACTTCACCCACAAATTTTCCAAGGCTATAAAATTCCATTTGCTTAAGAGAACACATTCATCTTTTCAAATATGAAGAAGAGGCAAAAACAAAAATAGAAAGAGAAAAAAAGAGATAAATCTTGTCTAAGCAAGAAAGCAAAATCACTCCATTGGTATTTTAAGAAGAGCCTTACTTGACATGCTGAGATCCTTAGTTTCCTGAGTTTCATGTCCACATTTGGGGCAGGGAGGCTGTTTACCTTTTTCTTGCTTAAATACTTTGCTCCTTGTATGATCATCACAGAAACAAGCCTATAAAGAAGTAAAAATAAGCAAGTAAATAAATAATTCAAAAAATATACAAAATTATCATTCAATATTTCCAGAAAACTTAAAGGCAGTTTTGTGAGGGTAGAGATTAAGACTTTTGTTGGGAATGGTCACACTTCTGATTTAAATTTCTTAAGGGAAATGGTCTTTTCCAGAACTCTCTGAACTATGACGTAACATAAAGCAGAAATTATACACAGGGTATGACAGCATAGGCACATTGATCCATTCATAAATACATGCGTGTTCACAAAGCCCCTGATGACATAATGGTGAACAGCCTATCCACCCTCACAGATATATAATCTAACTGCGGACACAGACAAGTGGAAAGGTAATTGCAAGACACTGCTCACTGAGAGGGAAGTGCAGTGGAGGGGCACTAAACCGGATATGGGATTCAGGAAAGGCTTCCTGGAAAACATGATGTGTTGGCTGAGAGCTGAAGGAGAACAAGGGTATAGTAGGGTAAGGTAAGCAAAACTGGAAGAGGGATGGATCTAAGGCAGAAGAAATAGCATAGATAACATCTGAAAGTCATTTGGTCAACTAGGGTAGATTTGAGAGAGAAAGGAAAGATAGGGTTAGGACCAGAAGAACCAGAGAAATGTTTCTGACAGGAAGTGAATGGGCTGTCCCTGTTTAGTGATCCTTGACAAACAGGAATGCTGGAGACAAAATCTAAGGAAATAGACCATTATGGAAGTCTTCCTTTCACTCAAACTCTCCTATAAGCAAGTGAATTTTAATGTTAGTTAAAATACATTCTCAACACTTTGGTCAGAATATTCTCCATAAACATAAGGTGTAAAAACACTGAGCCAAGATTCAGGAGACATGTGCATTAGTGTCTAAGATAAGCCAACTGGATGACCTTAGGAAAGTCACTCAGCTTTCTCAATTCAATTTCACAATCTTCAAAATAAAAGAAGTAAACTACATAATGTTTAAAAACCCTTGTTAGATTAATTATAGCTATAAATAATCCAAGGTGGAAGAGTACTGGGATTAAAAACACAATCTAAAAATAACAGACAAGTTTACCTTACAACGAAGACAGGAATGCTGACCAAGTCGATTGCATGAAACACCTATGGGCAAAAACAAAAAATACATAATGTCCAGATTCAACCTTGGAATGAAAACACTATTTTCCACAGATTTATACTTGATGTACTTAGCTCAATTATTAACATTTTTTTTTTTTGCCTCATAATATAACTCAGAGGACATACAAAATGAGATGGAATCCCCAGCCAGAAGGAAGGAAACAAAGTGCACACACACAGCATTATTTCACTAGTATGGCACTAATTATTCTCCAACCTCCTTCCATTTCTCCAATCTAGGAGATGGCAAACTTCATTAATTATATTTAAAAGAATGAAATGGTGAGACATCCTTTTTTCCATGACACTGGCTGAAATTCTTCCTTTATCAAATAATGCTTAAATCTTAAAAAGAGGGGCATCTGGGTGATTCAGTCGGTTAAGCGTCTGCCTTTGGCTTAGGTCATGATCTGGCGGTCTTGGGATGGAAGCCTCACATCAAGCTCCCTGCTCAGCGGGAAGCTGCTTCTCCCTCCCTTTGCCCCACCCCTTGATCCTGCTCTAAGTAAGTAAAAATATTTAAAAAATAAACAAATCTTAAAAAAAATAATTTTCTCTATTAATATATAATCTCCTGATGACACAGGCTATTACCATTTTCTGCATAACTTCTGATAAGGGAATAGAATACTTCAGATAGAAAAGGTGGCTATGAAGAGAAAATAATGTTCAAGTGGGCAGGAAAAGATGGGAAAAATCCCCAAATATTTTATTTCTATTTTGGTCAGTAAACCATGTTAATTTTGGTCATTACCTATAATTACTGAGGAAAAACCTAAACTTAAGTGCAAATATATTAGAAAAGCCAGAATGTCTGGCTCATATTGACTGTGTCAGAAATGGAAGAAAAAATAAGTACCAGAGATACAGAAGGAGAAAATAAACTAAGCCTTACCCTAATAAAGCCTGAATATAAAATTCACTTAGAGGTCTTGAAAAAATAAAGAGAAAAACAAATAAAAGGAAGCCTGTCTTTGTAATGTAAATATCTGACCAGATGTTTCTAATTTGGGAATTCTCTTACTTAATTTTCCCTGGTTGATGGGTAGCCTTTTTAATGTGCACAGGCAAGTATTTTTTTTTAAACTCAGGAATGATGCTCTCAATTATGTGTATTATCATTGCTTCTGCCCAAGTATCCCGCTTTCTTCCACAGTAATGCCAATAATTCAGTTGGATATGTATTATTTGTCCTATGTGTTAATAATAAAAAGTTAGAAAAAGTTTAAAAGTTTAAAAGAAAAAGTTATAAGTAAAAAGTTAAAAAAATAAAAGTTAAAAATAACAAAAAAGTTAAAAATAAAAAACTGAGTGCTTACTATAGTTGACCCTTGAACACGGGTTTGAACTGTGCACGTCTGCTTATATGTAGATGTTTTTCAATAAAGACAGCACAGTGCTTTAAATATATCTTCTCTGCCTTATGATTTCTTTAGTAACATTTTACTTTCTCTAGCTTACTTTAGCCTAAGAATATATTACATAATACATACAAAATATATGTTAATCAACTATTTATGTTATCAGTAAGACTTCTGGCCAATAGTAGGCTATTAGGAGTTAAGTTTTTGGAGGGTCAGAAGTTATATGCAGGCTGTCAATTGCGCAGAGAGTTGGTGCTCCTAACCTTCATACTGTCCAAGGGTTAATTATATTACATATATATAACAAATTACTCCAATAATAACCGTATTAGTTCATTCAGTCTGTAAGGACAAAAATCTGAAATCTCAATCATTTCTACCTGAAGATATGCCCAGGGAATTTTTTGGTTCCTTCTTCATTCAGTTAAAAAAAAGGGGGGGGGATATATTTAACCAAAATGTTATATATCTCTTCTAAATACATAGCTAGAACACATACTGAAAGTACAAAGCTCCCAACCCAATCTCCCATTGTACACCAGCCATTTCTATTTTCTTTTCTTTTAAGATTTATTTATTTGACAGAGAGAGAGAGAAAGCGAGCATACAAGTAAGCAGAGCAGCAGGCAGAGGAAGAAGGAGAAGCAGGCTCCCCAGTGAGCAGAGACCTGACCTGAGGCTCAACCCTAGACCCTGGGATCATGACCTGAGCCAAAGGCACTTAACCAACTGAGCCACCAAGGAGCCCCAGGCATTTCTGATACTGAAACTTTTCCTAACCCCACTACTTAAGGCTTTGACATGCCACAAGGACATGATCCCAAGAAATTAGTTGTTGCCTATCTTACCTCATCTCTACTTCTGGGAACTCAAACAAAGACAGAACATGGCCCTGCCATTCTTCTTTCCCTAATCACCTCAAGCCAACACACAGGCACTCCAGTTCACTGCCCAGTTCTTTCTCTCCCCAAGGGTTACAATCCTGGACATATATAAACACCATGAATTTCTCTCAGATTCTAAAATGGTTTGAGTTTCCTAGTTTTAAACTGGGGAATGGTTTCCATTTTAAATCTATTTCTATGTCTTCAGATTATTTTAAAAGAGAGCAGACTGGGATGCATCAAAGCCTGCTGATAACAAGCCATTTTATATCAGAAGTCCTGGAGCCATTTTAATTATTTAAAAAAAAAATACAGGCAGAGTCAACACATTTGTTTTGTTTTTTTCTTAAAACATCCTTCCCACTGATAATGCAGGTAAATAAGTATTTCAAATAATTTCTATATCGCCCAATAGGAATTGGTAAGTAAGTAAGTAAGTAAGGTCAATCCTATAAATGAGATATGACCAAGTAAGGGGGTGGAAATAATCTATATCTTTGGGGCGTATGGATATGGTTAGGAAAATATTTCAGAAAAAACAAGCAGCGAACGGCAACTGGCAAAGAAAGAATGGCAAGAAAAAAATAAAGCAATGAAGAAAAAAGGTAAAGATAAGTTACAGTAAACCAAAGACACCTGGAAACCTACAATGAGCATGACCTTAATATCAGGTATCAAAGACATGATGAGAGCTTTATCTTAATCTTGTCAACTATTCATTTTTCCTTTGTCTTTTACTGAATCACTAAAACTTCCTGATGAAATTATAGCCTTATCACTCACAGTTGCCTATCTTTGGGGCCACATGGCTACAAAATACTCAAAGCTCTTCACGTCCCAACTAAAGTAATTCAATTTTTATATTGCACATTTTGCAGAAGCCTAAGAATGGCTCAAAAATGCTATTTATTTTGAGATGTTCTTTAACCTTTAAGAGTTTCTATAGGAATATTCTAAGAATTACATATATACACATTTATATATACATGTATAAACTAATAAACTATCAACTTTATAGGAGAATATAGAGATTAGCATTTCATATCAAAACAAAAACCAAATTCAAGGAAGTGAGTGTCTGGGGAACTTCAGCCTTTCCTATAATGATATCTACTGTTTAATAAGGAAGGGCTTTCTAAGTAAAAGTACCATAATAACACTTTATATGGATTTGCATTTTAATTAACTCTTTGAAAAAGAAATTAGCATCTTTCTTTAATATATAAGGAAACTCAGCTTTAGAAAGATTTGGTGATTTGCCCAAAATCACATAACCAGGAAGTAGAATTTAAGTAATGTTTTGATTCTAAATCTTGAGCTTTGAGAATCAAAAATAATGCAGAAATAAAATGTAATCTATCCATAAAGATAATCCCATTGATACTACCCAATCAGTAACACTGGTTCTCAAACTGGAAGATACATGACAATTATGTGTGTGGGTAAAATACATATGCCTGTACCTATCATAGACTTCAAACAGAGAATCACCAGGGATGAGGCCGGGGTGCCTAAATTTTTAAAAAAAACCTCCACAGACGTTTCTGATGCATACTCTTGTCTAACAACCACTGGAACCAACTGGCAGGAACAAACTAGGGGTAGTGTCACATACCACTTACTTCAAGGCATTTGGAAATGGCAGGGGGTGGGTGGCGGGGGGCGGTGGAGGCAGGTAGAGGTGGGAGTGGTTATAGTAACTTGGGAAGTGAAAATGGTATTCAGTACTCAGGACCAGGAAGGCTACAAGCTCTATAGTGCCTGATCAATCCCATGTAACAAAGAACTGACCCAACCAAAATGCCAGTGGCATCCCTATTGAAAAAAACAAAAGTATGTGGCTCTGATTTTTATTTATTTATTTATTGGTTCTGAATTTTTTTTTAGAAACAGAAAATAGATATTAAGTTGAATTATAGTCCACAAGAGGCTGCATGAAAAACTAGATTCTTTTTTGAGTCTAACACTTAATACTATTAAGAACCCTGGGTATAAAGGACATCTAATTTATAAAAACTTACATTTGAATGTTTCCGCCTCTAAAACCTGGCAGCTGGCTTGATGTTCAAATTGATCATCTTCACAGAGAAAGTTATGACAAAAAGAACAACTGAATATTCTGCCTCCTGTTGGATTAAAAAATAAAACCCACAAGTGAAACATGATAAATTTCAATTTAAAGAAGCCATAAATACCAATTTAAAGAAGTCAAGCAATTTACTTCAGAATTACACCAAAATGACACAGTAGTTTTTGCTCTGGTAAAGGCTACAATGAAAACTGCCAAATTGAACCATAAAAAACTGGACTCCCACAACCCCCTGGCTACTCATATAAAAAGAGCATCCAGAATGTTTCAAAGTCAACCTTTACTTAGAGTAAAGTTCATCGCTTGTATGTAATCACTCACCGTGGTCCCAGACACCTCGCTCACACTCCACACACTCAGCATCAGTAAGAGGACAGGCACAGGCATGTGTGCTGAGACACTTCCTACCGTGGCAAACCCAAGCTTCACAGAAGTCACATATTGCACCCTGTAACCAAGGAACACAAAAAATTAATCTTTGTCACGTGCCTGGCTGCAACCATTGTTTAGCCAGGCAAACAATGGCAACCATCAAAATTGTATACATTTAGCAATTTATCAACCCTTAGTGATAGTGGGTGGCTTCATTAAAGAAAAAATTTTGCTTAAATCAAAATTAAAGAGGGTTCTCTGAAAATCAAACTACTTCACCAACAGCTATTTACAATATAAAAAACTTGGCTATATATCAAAAGAGTAAGAAGCAAGGAGGGGGAACTATACATTTAGCCCTAATACTAATCATTAAAGTAAGTCACAGAGCTAAAAGTGTTGCCTTCTCACTGAATTCTAATTCGAATGGTGTCCAGAGTCCACATTTAAGCATTCTTATCTATCACAATTATAGTAACTGAACTGAATTTTTTCAATTAGAAATATTTCTTAACTTCTAACTGAACATAATAAAAAAAAGGTACAAACTTGCAGTCACATATTAAATAAGTTATGCGGATGTAGTGTACAGCATGGTGACTGCAGTCAATAATACTTTATTTCTTTGAAAGTTGCTAAGACAGTTGATCTTAAAAGTTCTCATCACCAGAAAAAAATTATAACCATGTGAGCTGATAGATGTTAACTAGACTTACTGTGGCGATCATTTTGCAATATATACAAACATCAAATCATTATGTTATGCACCTGTGTGATACTGTGATTTATAATAAATATATATTCCATCTTCTAAAAAAATAAGTATTTAAGAAAATTCCTTCCTGAATCATTTATAAAATAATTCACATAGCTTTTTTAGAATAACTGAGAAAAAATATTAAACTTCTGTCAGCATCTTTTTTCTGTTAAGGCTACTTATGCTTTGAATCATTACATTTCTTTGTGGAAAAAAAATTAAAATAATTATACAGAATTAGGGAATTTGGATGGCTCAGTTGGTTAAGCAAGTATCTTCAGCTAAGGTCATGATCCTGGAGTCCAGGATCACCAGGGAGGGAGTCTGCTTCTCCCTCTGACCTTCCCCCCTCTCATGATCTCTCTCTCATTCTCTCTTTCAAATAAATAAAACCTTAAAAAAAAAAAAAGAGAGAGAGAAAGAGAATTAAATAGGGTAAGACTCTCCAATTCTACATCAAGATAACACAATGACATCTATAGAATATTAACTGCTAGAAAGAATATTAAGAAAATGGGACTAGGGATGCCTGAGAGGCTCAGACGGTTAAGCATCTGCCTTCGGCTCAGATCATGATCCCAGGGTCCTGGGATGGAGTCCCGCATCAGGCAGCCTGCTTCTCCCTCTGCCTGCCATTCCCCCTACTTGTGTGCGCTCGCTCGTGCTCTCGCTCTCTCTCTCTCTCTCTCTGACAAATAAAATCTTAAAAAAAAAAAAAGAAAGAAAGAAAAAGAAAACAAGAAAAAAAGAAAAGGTCTTTCCTTTATAGGTGACAAATAGGGGCCCAAGTCTTAAGTCCAAATCCCAGAGCTACATTACAGTGGAGCTGGGATTTAAACCAGTGTTCTGAATTTCAACTCAATGTTCTAGTATTCAAGATTCTCTGTAACAGAAGTAGTAAAGAACAAGTAGGAAGGATGTTTTTTGAGCTATAAAAATGGATTATCACTGTGGAGAGTAAATCCTCAAATACATCTCTTGGAACATCCAGGTTCTAGCAACAAAAAGATGATACACTAAACTGAGTAATCCGGGAGAGTTTACAAGAGATGATTTACAAAGGACAGAGAAGGGCTTAGAAAAAACATAAGGGATGATCCAGACAACCCCTGAGCCTGAAACAAGGGGAGAGGAGGGAGTTACCAGAACCTTGAAAGAGAGCAGTGTGGAGAAGATTACCTGGCCATATAGAGAGAAACCGTGGCCAATCCACGTCCAAACAAGGGTAACGGTGTCGAGAGAGCTTGAAGAATGAACACCCAGACTGTACTGTCCTCCCAACTACAGGTGTCCTACCAGGGCCTCCACTGGCTGAACCCAAAGGGAAGCCAGAAGGTAAGAAAGAAAGACACTGACCAGTCCATACACACAGGTCAGTTCCCAGGGCAAAGCAGGGTATAAAAGAGGGAAGAGAGAGGGAATTTTGACAGACAAAGAGAAGATTCCCAGAATATCACTTTTCTAGAATTTACAGCTAATGATAACTGAGTCTACTGAAATGTTTTATATAAGACATCATTCACATTCAATTCAATTCACAACTTGGTGAATTTTTTAAAAAGCATTTGATAAATCTGGACATAAGCAAGCTACCAAGGAAGATTACATTGATTTATGAATAAAGATAATACTGACAATCCTATATTTAAAAATGAAGAGAAATTCACAAGATACTGATGAATAAGTCTAGTTTCTTGCTTCTATAAGATATCCACATATGAAATAGATCATATAAAGGTGTGCTTCATGATGGAAAATAATGTTCTTGGGAAGTTACTATAAATAAAATATCTGCTTGACATAGAAGTACTATTACTTTTCTCATGGAATGAAATTTGGACCTGAGCATAAAAATCACACAACAGTGGGGCGCCAGGGTGGCACAGTCATTTAAGCGTCCGACTCTTGGTTTTGGCTCTGGTTGTGATCTCCGGGTCATGAGAAATGGCCCCGCATTGGACTCCTTACTCAAGTGTGAAGTCCGCTTGGGTTTCTCTCTCCCTCTGCATCCCCTCCTCTCTCAAATAAGTACGTTTTTTAAAAAAATAAATAAGCCACCCAACAGAATACAGTAAAATTGGTTTAAGAGCTATTTGTTAGTGAAAAAGAGAGCAAAATGCATCACACAACTCTTTTTATTGCAGCATACCTCATTTTCTTGTGCTCCATTTTACTGCTCTTCACAGCTAGTGTATTTTTTATATATTGAAGGTATGTGGCTGCCCTGCACCATCAGGGCCATTTTTCTAATAGCATTTGCTCACTTCGTGTCTCTGTATTACATTTCAGTAATTCTCACAGTATTTGAACTTTTTTATTATTATTATATTTGTTATGGTGATCTGTGATCAGTGATCTTTGACATTAGTATTGTAATTGCTTTGGAACACCACAAACTGTGCCACGTAAGACAGCAAACTTAATCAGTAAATGTTTTATGTATTGTGACTGTTCCAATGACCAGCTGTTCGCCCACCTCTCTTCCTCTCCTTGGGCCTCCCTATTCCCTGAGACACAACAATACTGACATTAAGCCAATTAAAACCCTACAATAGCCTCCAAGTGTTCAAGTGAGAGAGTCATGTGTTTCTCACTTTTATTTATCTTTTTTTTAAAAGATTCTTTTTATTTATTTGACAGACAGAGATCACAAGTAGGCAGAGAGGCAGAGAGAGAGGGAGAAGGAAGCAGGCTCCCTGCTGAGCAGAGGGCCCGATGTGGGGCTCGATCCCAGGACCCCGGGATCATGACCTGAGTTGAAGGCAGAGGTTTTAACCCACTGAGCCACCCAGGCACTGTTTCTCACTTTTAAATCTAAAGCTAGGGGGCACCTGGGTGGCTCAGTGGGTTGAGCCTCTGCCTTCGGATCAGGTCATGATCTCGGGGTCCTGAGATCAAGCCTGGCGTCGGACTCTGCTCAGCGGGGAGCCTGCTTCCCCCTCTCTCTCTGCCTACTTGTGATCTCTCTCTCTCTGTCAAATAAATAAATGAAATCTAAAAAACAAAAAGAAAAAAATCTAAAGCTAAAAATGATTAAGCTTCATGAGGAAGGCAGGTTGAAAGCTGAGACAGGCCAAAAGTAAGCCTCTCATGCCATACTCAGTGAAGTTGTGAATGTAAAAAAAAAAAAAAAGCTCTTGAAGAAAACTAACAGTGCTACTCCAATGAACACATGAATGATAAAAAGACAAAACAGACTTATTGCTGATATGAGAACAGATGAGGAGTTGCTTCTTACGAATGAACAAAGAAAGTGATTTCTTAAGATGGAATCTACTCCTGGTAAAGATGCTGTGAAGACTATTGAAATGACAACCTAGGATTGAGTCTGTTATGTAAACTTGGTTTATAAAGCACCAGCAGGGTTTGAGAGGACTAACTTCCAATTTTGAAAAAAGTTTTTCTATGGGTAAAATGCTATCAAACAGCATTGCGTGCTATGGAGAAATTGTTATTTTTTAAGAAACTGCAACAGCCACCCCAACCTTTGGTAACCATCACCCTGATCAGTGGCCAATAACATCGAGGGAAGACTCTCCACCAGCAAAAGATTACGACTCACTGAAAGATCAGACGATGGTTAGCATTTTATTGCAATATTTTTTAATTAAGGCATTAAAATGTTTCTTTAGATTAATGCATTAAGTAGACTGCAGTATACTAAATACTGTAAACATAACCTTTATATGTACTGGGAAACCGAAAAATTAATTTTTATTCTATTGCAATATCTGCTTTATTGCAACTGTTTAGAACCAATACACAGTATCTCTGAGGTATGTCTGTATTTAAAACAATGAATTTCCTTAGAAAATTCTACATGTAATGAGGAAATTATGTTTAAGTCTACATTAAATATGTATTCTTTTTTGAAATGTAAAGCTATAAAAAAAAAAAACCCACTAATAGTAGGGTTCTTTTGAAACTAGGATGCTTTTTAACCAAAAGCTTGAACCTTGGGGCACCTGCGTGGCTCAGTCGTTAAGCATCTTCCTTCGACTCGGGTCATGATCCCAGGGGGTCCCGGGATGGAGCCCTACAACGGGCTCCCTGCTCAGCAGGAAGTCTACTTCTCCCTCTCCCACACCCCCTGCTTGTGTTCCCTCTCTTGATATCTCTATCAAATAAATAAATAAGTAAAATCTTAAAAAATAAAAAAGGAGAAAAAGCTTGAACCTTGCTTAAGCAGGGCTTTCAGTACAGTAAATGACAGTCTATGAGGTCTGATTAAGATACCTTAGAAAGGTACCACTGACAAATGAATCTTTGTTTAAGTCAACTTTAAATAAGTTTCCATTTCTTGTCCGTTTTCCAATAAGAAAAGGAAGCAATCAAAAGTAAGTGGATAATATAGGCAAATCATTCAAAGAATATGCCATAGGTAAACCAGAAAATTCCAGATTGACTGAATCAAGGACAAAACAGTACTATTTAGAAAAAATAATCATTGCTCAGACAGATTTTTCTTATCCTTAGAAACATGCTTGTCTAAGAGATGAAGACAAGAACTTACCACCATAGAAAGGCCAGTACTGTACACACCAGCATGCTTTATGACACAGTCTGAAGACTTCATCATGCATTTTGTTTTCCCTAGTAAAAACACAAATTTGCATTATCAGTCTTGCAGAGAGTAGTACATGTAAGTACTCACTAATGCTGCTTTTTATCTAGCCTCAATTCCTATAGAAGTAACTTGAAAATGGATAGAAATCAGTTTACTGCTCATGTTACAAAAAAAAAAAAACCACAGTGTAACTGAGATCTACCCTGATCTTTTAAGAGTAGAAATTTATAAGTATATCTATAAAAATGTATTACACATAAAATTATATGCTAATTATTTGTACTCAGATCAGAAACTCCAAGTTAATAGTTTATAACCTAACAATCATTAAAGCAGTTTAAAATCTTGTGAATTTTCAGATGAATTAATACAGATTTTAAAAAGCTATGCTTTAAAATGAATTTCACAGTTTGTAACTCACAATAAAAACAGCCTGGTTTAAAATTATTGTTTATTTCTTTCCACAGAACATCTCAAACCAAATCAAACCATGATTATGCAACTTACCTAATTCATTTTTTAAGTTTATCCATATGTAAAAATTTACAAATTTAGTCCCCAAATAAACATTCTTCCAAAAGAATTTTGAAATAGTGCCAAATGAGCAGGAAAAAACCAGGAATACAGTGACAGAGCTAAAAATCAGACTACAGCCACAAAAGCTCTGAGCTAACAGCAAATTACCAACACAAAACACTATCAGGAAGTTCATTCATCATATACTATGTCAAAATTAATGGTGACATATTAATCACCCATCTCAGACTCTGCAAAGTAGAACACGAAACACACAGAAGATGCACAATTTTCCATTATCTTGACTATGTGAGGAACGAAGCTAGGACATAGGAAATGGGAAGAGAGACTGGAAATGACAGACAGCAGCTACCCAACTGTTCCACATCTAAGTACAAGAATCAGTAAGTAGGAAATAAATCCATGTACCCAGCACTATATAATTCAAGCCCAGATAACCATGAAAACATGGGAGGCTCCCAGCAAGAACTCAATCTCCATAATCTATTTTCTCATTCTTTTTTTCTTTTCTTTTTTAAGATTTCACTTATTTATTTGAGAGAGAAAGATAGAGAGCACGTGCACGGGAGCGCACAACCTGAGGGAGGGGCAAAGGGAGAAGGAAAAGCAAACCACCTTCCCCCTCGGCAGAGAGCCCAAGATAGGGCTGGATCCAGGACCCTAGATAATGACCTGAGCTGCAAGTCACCAGACACTTAACTGACTGAGCCACCCAGGAGCCCCTCTATTTTCTCATTCTATATTCGTCTTTTATAAAATAAGGATATAAAAACTGTCAGTCAAGTAGTCTCTCTAGGCCAGTTTTTTTTGTTTTTGTTTTTTTGTTTTTTAAGTAGGCTCCACACTGGGCCTGCTTAATGCCAGGCTTGAACTCACGACCCTGAGAGCAAGACCTGAGCTGATAAACCCCAAAAGATGGCCTCTTTGGAAACTTGAGCTACACTAGAAATATTCAGGGATATAGTCCTAAACTCTACTAAATTTTCTGTGATGTTATTATACATAAACACATTTATGTGAGTATATCCCAAATTGTGTTCCCCTTGAAACTATCATCCTATAACCAAAGGGAGTATTTGTTCAAATAAAAGTTTGGGGAATAAATCTGGTGTGAACAAAACTAATTAGGTTTCTTTACTGGAGGTCCTCAGAACCTTTAACATACAAGTATGTAGCAGAAATCTCCCAGATAGAAAGGCAGGGATGAGCTAAGCAGCATTTCTCAAATGTACGCATTCTTTAAAGAAAAACCTATTAAGGGCACCTGCATGATTCAGTTGGTTAAGTGTATGACTTGATTTCGGCTCATGCCCTGATCTCATGGTTCTGAGATCGAGCCCTGCATCAGGCTCTGAATTGGGTGTGCAACATGCTTGGGATTCTCTTCTCTCCTTCTCCTTTTGCCCGCCCCTCTGTCTCTCTCTCTCTCTCAAAAAGGAAAGGAAAGGAAAGGAAAGGAAAGGAAAGGAAAGGAAAGGAAAACAAAGGAAAGGAAAGGGATAGGAAAAGAAAAGAAAAGCAAAAAGACAAGACAAGAAACGATAAGCCAAGAAAGAATTACCTATTAATAGCTCAAGTATTCTGTGGAAGACTATTTGGGAAACGCCAATCTTGTTATTCTATGAACTACCATTTAGTTTTACCATTTAGTTTACTTTGAATAATCATTTACTCTGAATGAATACCTGGGAGCTGAATATGTAGCTTAGGAACTCTACTGCAGTCACTTGGGAAAACATATGAAGAAACTCAAGAATAATATGGTAAGAGTCAAACAGAAAAAAACTGGCACCAGTAAATGTGGAATAAATTTATTCTCAGTGGTCTAAGATACTGTGGGCAATATCAAAACTTAGGAATCAAAACTTAGAAAAGTATACAAACAGATATCAACAAGATAAAGATATATATAACTAAAAATTCAGGTGACCAAATGTTATTAGTCAGAAATCTGATCTTTTAATGTTTACAACATGGTACTAACCTACATCCAAACTGTACCATAATTATTTTTCAACCTTACATCAAAGAGACAAAATCAAGGCTTGATACACCAAATAACAATTTGTTGTTTCATTAATGATAAGGTCTAACAGTATTATAAAAACTGATAAACCCACACATTCAAACTGATTAACTGCAAAACAAATGGTTGATAAAAGAAAAGGCTTAAGTCCTCAGTTTTCATATACTTACCACACTGTGCACAAATTGGTAACTTCTGTACAGAATTGCAAAAATAGCAAAACGCTCTATTCTTCTGCCGCCTTGTCATATGAAATAAAATTTTAAAATATAGTCAATATCAGATAAAAGGTTAGAGGATCTATATTATTACATACAGATAGAAAAAGAAATAAATATTTACCTCTGACACTTGTCACACTCCTGTAAAATATAAAAACATAACAATTTTCTACTGGTTGAAAATGCAAATTTACTTTCATTATAAAGAATACCATTTTTCATGCTAAAATTTGAGTAACACTTTGCCAAAGCCTCTAACTTCATCCACATACACAAGCATATATACATACTTTACTAACAAAAGTATGTTCCTGGACATACTTTCTTTAGTAACACCAAAGAAAGGAGTGGCATTTCCAAATAGGCTACATAAATACAGCAATGGTTTGGTTTTTTGTTGTGTTTTGTTGTTGCCGTTGCTTTTTAATCAGACAAATATTACAGAATAGACATAAGAAATAGTAGAGAACACAGTATGATGAAGCTTGCAGAAAATCTAGAATCTTAAAACATGGTACTAAAAGTTTTCAACAGTCTGGTCCCTAACCACTTTCAAACCTTGGTGGCCTATTCTCTTTAGATTCAAGTCACTATCTGTCAGCCATTCATGAAATAGGTCTTGTGCTTTTTCCAGGCCTTACTATTATAATACTTTTCCTTGAAAAGTCTATCTTTACCACTTTCCCTGTTGAAAGTTCTGATGATGAACCTACCTCCTCTATGAACTGTACCCCATCCATGCACATGCACTCAAGTTTATCCTTGTTTTACCCAAATGTCCCTTATCAAACTCTAGCCTTCATCATGTGTATTTACACATGTGAGTCAATTCTTTTGTTTGTCCCATCCCCCTCTCTAGTCATCTCTAGAAACGACTCTGAAGGGAGTCTCTACCACCTGTCCTATCTGTGTTATGTAAACCTGGTCCCTCCCACCCCCAAGGCCAGTCATAAACGTTAGCCCTGGGATGGGCACCTAACCAAGTCCAATCTAACAGTTCTTTCCCTCTGTGACAACATTCTGGGAGGTGAGACACACAAGCTACCACTACCTAAAACCCAAACCAATGGGGTAAGACAATCTGAGAAAATGGAACTAATAAGGAAAAAGAAACACAAGCAAAAGATGGAACTACAAGGCTGTTCATGTTCTAGGCATCCCTGAGCCCCAGTTACATCCTTGCCCTGCCCAACAACATATTAGTTGATAAACTCTATTTCTTCCTAAAGTTACTTAAGTTGGATTTGTAACTTATAAACAAATATTAAGTAATACACAAAATGACTGACCTATGAACTTGTCAAAACAAGGACTGTATAACCCACAGTGCCTAAAATACTACCTGGCACAAAGTAGATGCAAAAGAAACATTCGGGGATTTAAATCTTACTAAGCATTTCATATGATCCTTAGATGAAACAAAAGGAGAAGAAAGAGGAGTAGCAGGAACAGAAAAAGTAGAGAGGACTGGAAATAGGGAAATATGGGACAAGTCAGAGAAACATGGACCAAAAAAAAAAGAAAAGAAAAGGGTTATAATCACATGATAATCTTACTTTTTTATACTTTGACCAAACAAACCCAGAAATGATCAGGACTAACACACTGAGCATAGCAAAGAAGATAATAGAACAGTTAGCCAAAAGAGATGTCAAGAAAAGGGAAAAGTTTAGAAAAGAAATCAAATAAGTTAAGAACTGCTAAAAGAACTAATGAAAAGGCTCCAACTAATAGGACAAAATATGCATAAAGTTTAGAGAAGTTGGAAATCATCACACAATCCCTAGTACGCATTCTTGTTTCATATCTATTCGTCACTAACAGCAGCCCAGGTAATACGCTAGGTTTATAAATAACATAAAATCAAACAAAATCATTGCTACTCAGTATTACTGAAAACAATGGGCATGCCTCTAACACAGATTCAAAATTCAATAAAATATATGCGGCAACACTGTATTCACTAAAATTTTATTCAAGCATTTTTCAGATAAGTATTATATAGTTTTTCAACCACCAACAGGTATCCAAAAAAGCTGTTACCATTGATGCATTGCATGGATGTTTAGCTAAATCTATGGTGCTTCTTGATGCTCTGAGCTGTTTTTCCCGTTCCCGGCGGTTCTCTGCCTTCTTCCTCGCACCAGTCTTTTTTTTAGGCATTTTACCCCTCTTTCTACACAAGAGAACAGAGAAGATATAATTGCCAGGTTGCATTTGCTATTTTAAATAAACTAAGAAATTGGAGAATGAAGTGTTTTTACTCATTAAATTTTAAACTCAAACCTAGCACTTTGACTGGTAAGCACATTTTAAGCCTTTATGAAATATTAAATATACATTATCCCAAATAAAATAGATGATTTTTAAAATAAGGCACTTATTTGCACTACAATTCTAAAGAATGTAAACATCAAGAAAATTATATCCTAGAAGCCAAATGTTTTCTTTTCCCACCGAGAAAAAAGAAAAAGTTTCTCTCATGTTAAGTATTCTTTAAAAATTACTCTGTATATTGTCTAGGTGAGCTTGCTGGCTACTGAGATCAAGTCCCCATCCCCTCCCATTCAACCCTAGGGTGCCACTGTCAGCAGGGAGTCTGCTTGAGGATTCTCTCTCCCTCTGCCCCTCCCCCTCCTCATGCTCCCACACTTGCTTGCTCCCAGATAACTAAATCTTAAAAAAATAATAAAAAATAAAAATTACTACATTTTAAAAACTTAAGCATATAACTTTAATAAGAAATATTTAAAACTGTATTATTTACTCAGTTTATATCATTTTTTGAGCTATTCATTCAACTTCATAAGATTAGAAGTATAACAAGTCTTATTTCTCCTGTGTAATAACTCAACAAAACATCTAACAAGTCAAATCAAATGACAACATTAACTGCAAAGCCAAACCTCTCTAAAAAGATATTAAAGGTATTACAGTTGCTTTGACTCTGGAAGCTGTCCCTCTCTCTACATGTAACTGAGCATATAATTTTAACAGAGTTCTATTTATGTTCAGGAGTATGTATTATAAATGAGTATGTATGTAAAGTCCTGTATAAATAAGGCCTTTCAAACTGGCTTTCGTATTTCCTTACTTAGTTGAAAGAACTACCACATTTAGAAAAATATGATTTTTACTAAATAACACATTTTTATTTGACCATTCATCCAATCTGCACACTACAACTTCCCTGAGGATTTCAGCCTGTCTTTCTTGACAATGTTCATCTCCGCGCCCTGCCTGGCACATATTAAGAGGTCAGTAAACGAAGAGACACATGAATAGATGGGTCTATGTACTTGCTTCAAAATATGAATCTCAAGTTTCTTCATAGTCTTCAAAATACATGTTTTTTAATATTTTCTAAGATTGATTCTCAAAAATCAACTGTAGAAATTCCTAAAAAATACAGAATTACACATCTAGGCCTTGTTCAAGATCTACAAATTCTAAACTTCCAAGGACAGGATTAAGTTTCCCTGGTGACTATGACACAATCTCCCTGAAGGCACAAACATTCTCTTCAAAGAAACCAAAATACGTCCATGATACATGGAGCGATTTCTAAGAAATCACACTTTGAATACACATTTCTCATTTAAAAGGCCCTATTACAATACGGTGAAGTCGTGCACCAGCTTGCTCATTTTACTGTTTTCCTAGTTGGGTGTCTACTCTTAACGTTAAAATGTCCGAGTAAAAGCCAAGTGGTGGGAAGAGGAGACTTAAAAATATAGACAAATCGGGCCAGGAAGTTTAGTAGGTAGTCAGCCAAGTAACTCCACGCCCACGAGATCACCCTTTCAGTATTTAAAATTTCAAAAATCTACAGGGTGAAAAAAAATTGTGTAGTCCCCTGCCAAAGGAACTTGGAAAGCAATCACGGGGTGATCATTCCCGTAGGGATTTTTGCGTCCCCAGGGGTGAAAAGGCTCAGGCTGAGCCTCGATTTTTTTTTTCCTCCAATTTGTTTTTGGAAAGTTAGAAAAGTAATTCTTTTTCTCATCTTATATAGGTTTAAGCCCTTCCCTAATAACGCTTCGACTTAAGACGTGACCTGTGTCACCTAATGAGGAAAAAGGCACAGGGTCAGCGCAGCTTTGGAGGAAAAACCTGCAATCGGAGGACCCAGCGGGGTGATGGGGGCGTCCAGAGGCGACAGCGGAGGTGCCACGCGGTTCGGGGAACTGACAACCATCACCCGCCCGCGGGACGCCCTCCCTCACGCGCGCTCCGGGCCGACCTCGCTCACCCTTGCGGGGAGGCCGGGCTCACTCCGGGGGCAGAGGGGCAGGGAACAGCGTGAGGCCAGCCCGCGACAGCAGCAACTCCAACTTGCGGGCCGCGACTCCAGGGAAGAAGCTACTAAAACCGAAGGAGGGTAGACAGAGCCAATTTCCGACACTAGGAGCCGGACCGGATGTCCTCTTACGCCAGCAGCGTCTTTACGCCGGCGCGTCGGCAGGAAAGGGTCCGCCCACTTCTATTTGCTCCGCCCCGGTCCCGCCCACTCCCGCGGGGGGCGGGGCTCCCACTCCTGGATGGGGGATTTGACCCAGCAGGAAGAGGCTACCTGAATAAACAGGAAAAAAGGAAGAGGAAGACAGGGTATGGGAAAGCCCAGGAAATTTTATTTTTTCAGAAAAGGAGAAATCTAAAGGAAGAGGGAAATGAATTCACATGCATTTACTGACTGAAATAGAAAATTCTTGCCTAAGTCTTTGGAACTTTCTGTTACCTACATCTTTTGTGCCTTACAACCTACTTTATATGTTTGCTGTGCAAACTGTGAACTCCATTCTTTTGTGAACAAATTTTCCCACATTAAGGGCCTCTAGTCTGTGTTCTGCCTTGTCCTTAATTGAAACCTAACATCCTCTCCCTTACAAAGACGACTTGCTTTAAACCTCTATGAAGTGAAAGGTGCTCATTTTTGCACACTTCATCTCTTGGTTAGAAGGTATGGTCAGTCCTCTTGTTCCCCTGTACCTCACTCAGATAATTATTCTTCCTTTCTTTATAGCCATACAACTTTTTTTTCCTTCGTTGTTGCTATTTTTTTACCCACTCCTTATTGGTGGAAAACTTTGGAACCTGACTTCCAACTTCTGCTATCACCCAGAATCACACTAACATCCAAACCCATTCATTCTTTTAGGTTCTTGATTTCAACTCCACTAGTCATCACCACCACTACACTACAGACATTCTCTCTCATGACCACACTCCAGGTTTTGTCATTTACTTAACCACTGAAATCCAAAATTCAGACAAACTATCTAACGCTCTACTTTACCAACTCTCTCAATTTTCCCTTCCGATGAAGATTTCAAATCTCTTAACTCTTGTATTTGCTCTCTATTGATTATCTCTCTGTTTTCTTCCCTCCTCTTTCCCCCCAGTTTATCAAACACAGTTCATCTTACCAATCACAATTTGCCTTACTTTCTTTCTTAGCAAACCAACTGGAACATTCCTAGTTCTGTTAATTCAACAGCTTGCCTTTTCTTTTTTACACATGACTTAGTGTTGTTAAGGGGAAAAATTTTTACACAAAATTTACACAACCATGATTTTACTCCAAATACAGAAGTTACAAACCTCCACAAGGCTCTCAAAATTGCCTTTCAATCCTCTTATATTTTCCTAATCAGATCTATCATTCCCATCGTCTAAACTATTTTATTCAATCTTCTCCCCTTTCCTCCACCTTCCATCACTGTTTCCATCAATTTTAGTAGATATTGTATTTCACAGAGGAGGTAGAATATCAGTAATGATTATATTTCATTGAATGCTTCTGATGTTCTAATTGCTTTACATACATAGTACTAACTCCTAAGTTTACACATGAGGAAACAAGCAGAAAGACTGTGAAACTTGCCCCAAGTTTACACAGGTGGTTTGGCTTGGGGCATTGCCTGTTGTAGCAATTCTTAAAACTTTTGGTCTCAAGTCCCCTTAAAAACTCTTAAAAAATTGAAGACTCTAGCAACTTTTGTTTATGGGGGCTATATCTATTGGTATTTACCAGTGAAAAAATTAAAGAGAAAAAATTTATTAATTCATTAAAAGTAATACATCTCTTACATCTTAGTAAAAATATTTTTTCAAAAAAATGTTATATTTTCCCAAACAAAAAATATACAAGAATGGCACTGCTTTACAGTCTCGCAAATGTCTTTAGTGTAAAGCTTGATAGAAGGTAGGTAAATTCCTTAACAACCATTCCACTGAGAAATTTTTTTTTATGTTCTCATTTTCCCAATATACAGTTAGCCACAGAAATTGTAAAGAACCCTCTGGGAAAGGACTGGGGGAACTATTACAGTGTGCACCATTATGAAGTTTCCAGTCTTCCTCCTGGGGATCTGGCCTTTTTGCTGTCAGTGGTTTTGAGATCCCAAAACTGGCTCAGACTTAAAACGTGAGCAGAGAATCGTGATTCATTGTTGGAGTATTGTTCTCAAGCTCATACTGAAGAGCCTGCTCCTATAGGGCTTGCTCATACACTCCCTGTTTGTGCACTCCCTTGATTTATTTTGATCATATGCACTGGGCAGCATTCTTGTCTGCCACCTGGGGCACTGTATTCTTTTAACCATCTCCCTGATCTGCTGAGGGTCAGAGTGCTCTCCCTTGCTGCCACTCTGCCCTTGCTGGTGATTATAACAATTGTGCCAGGGGGCACCTGGATGGCTCAGTCAGTTAAGCATCTGACTCTTGATTATGACTCAGGTCGTGATCTCAGGGTCGTGAGATGGAGCTCAGCCTCTGACTGGGTGTGGAGCCTGCTTGAGATTCTCTCACTCCCTCTGCCGTTTCCCCCACCTCTCTCTGCCCCTCCCCACCCCCAGGACGGAGGCTGGGGACAGCTCCTGAAGGGATTACTAGTTGTACTATGAGGAGGAAGCCTCTGCGTGGTATTTAAACAAGGTATATGTGGTGGGGACGCCACCCGTTAATCAGGGATATGGGACCATGTTTAGAAACAGAGGGTTCAGGAGAATCTGGGCATTCAAGATTTTCAGGTTGTCACAACCCAGCCCACTGCATCAGAGCTTCTTTCTTTACAGTCCAGCATTCTGACCTTGGCATAGCCGACCTAGAGGAGCTGCATGGTTGTTAATCTCCTTTGGAACTCTGCCACACTTAGGATCTAGTGCCGGGCATGTTCCTCAGCTTTTTCTGCCCTCCCACTGCAGAAGATGAAAACCTCTTTATTTGCAACCAAAGAAGCTTTGTGAATTTTACTCTTAGATTTTTAATAGCTCTTAATCATCTCAGTGTTTGGGTTTTTCGAAAGAAATGATTTTGCTTAGCAACAGCCAGTTCCTTTGTCCTTAAGATGACAGTTTCCTTCATATTACTTAAATGTACCCACTAGTATATTATCTTTCATTAGAACGCATCCCAGTTCACTAATGATGAAAGTTTACCTATTGTTTTGTTACCTTGTGCCGAGGTATGTCTGTCCTATATTTCTCACCAATGAGAAGATCCTCACTGATGGTCAGGTGGCCACTGATTCAAGTCAAAAATATCAGATTAGCTTCAACTTTCTTGAATCATCCCTAACATCAACTATCTTAGATTGGTTTCTCTGGCAGCATACTCCGAGTCAGGGGGAAGTATAGAGAGTTCCTAGGGGAGTGCTTTAGGAACAACAGCTGAGGAATGGATGATAGTACTACTGGACAGAGAAAAGAGCTGGCCTATACTTTAGTCTCAGTGAAGACCTCAACTTTGAATCTGGGATGTCCCTTCAGACTTGAGGCAAGAGGATTCGGTCCTTCTATACCTGTGACAGTCATCAGATGTGAGCTGGCAAGGAAAATGAGTGTAACCCTGGACTAGACTACTACTGAAGGCTGACAGCTCAAATTTGTTAGCTCATTGAACTCCCAGCAGCTCAGGGAATAACTCCTTTGTTTCTGAAGAGAAATATGGGTGATGCCTCCCAATATTCACTATCAAAAGTGATGACGAAATAAAGAAATATTCTGACAAAGACAAAGAATCTTTACCATTTGCAGACCCTCATGGAAAGAATTCCAGAGAGTCTACTTCAGGAAAACAAAAATAAAATTCAGGAGGGGGTGATGCCCAAAGCAATAGTGTGAAATCAATTCATTTAACATATAGGGTAAATCTAAAACATCTGTATAAAACAACAGAACTGTAATAAACTATTTTGAATATGAAAACTATAAGGAACTGAAATTGTCTCTAAATTCAATGCAATTCAGAAGTGCCTGGGTGGCTCAGTCAGTTAAGCATCCCAGTCTTGATTTTGGCTCATCATACCAGGGTCATGAGATGGAGCCCCATGTTGGGCTCCCTGATCGGTGAGGAGTCTGCCTGAGGATTTTCTCTCTCCCTCTCTCCCTCTTTCTCTCCCTCTCTGTCTGCCCCTCCCCCCACACACCTTCTTTTGCTAAAATAAATAAATCTAAAAAAATAAAAATATATTCAATGCAATTCAAACAAATCCTGACAGGGACTTTTTCATGGAATTTGATTATCTGATCCTAAAATTCGTGTGGGCGAGTAAAGAACCATGAACATCCAAAACCATTTTAAACACCAGCAAAAAGATACCTTTATTATTATAAAGTTCTAGTCATTGAAACAGTGTTGTATAGAGTCAGATGTGGAAAACTAGACAAATATTACTGAAAAGAAATAGCAGATAGACTCACATAAATTGGATACTTGATAAGTGGTATCGTTTCATTAGTATCAGTGAGAAGCATGTTATTCAATAAATGGTGTGGAGACTATTGGCTATCCAATTGGAGGAAACCAAATTAGATCCCCATTTAACAATATATATACAAACACATTCCAGGTGGATTAAAGACCTAAATATACAAAGCAAAAAATGTAAAACTCTTATAAGTGTAAGAGAAAGCCTTTATGATATTGAGGTATATATGATTTCTTAAATAAGATATAAAAAAGTAAAAAATTAAAGAAAATAAATAATGGATGTAACTAAATTAAAGATTAAAACTTCAGCATGAATGAAGTCACCGAAGTGAAAAAGCAAACCAAAAATTAGAGAAATAAGTTTGGCACCCATGTAACTGACAAAAGATTTATATGTAGAATAAATTAAGAACCACCATTCAGTGAAAAAAGATACAAACAACCCAAAAGAGTTATAGGCAAAAGATAAAAACAGGAGATTTTATAGAAAAAGAGATCTAAATAGCATTGAAAATATCCAATTCAATACCGCAATAGAATACCATCTCACACTCATCAGACGGGCCAAAATTAAAGATCCTGGAAATTCTAAAAATTGAGGAAAGGTGGAGAAGCAGATTTTAAGCAATTCTGGTGGTAGCATAAAATTTAAAGCGGTAGCAGGTTTTAAAAGCAATTTAATAGCGAAAAAATTTAAACTACCTATCTTTTATTAGGGAAAGTA